ATAATTATTTAATTACCATAATCTACTATGATTTTGATTCTGATTTTATTTTTCACAGATAGCATAAAGAACACAAATTATTTTTCAAGGTAAGACTTTTTCTCCATCACCACAGTCATATAGCCTTGGGTGGCAACCAGCCTAGAAGAAGGAAACTTTGAATTCAAAACACCTGCTGCCTTGTAGGTCTTACATCTTTAGGTAAATATGCTAGAAAATAACTTAAAAAAACAAATCCACCTCTGAGTGGTGGGACAATGTAAGTTCAACATCCCCAGTGCAAAAGGAACTGGTCCACCTCTGAGTGGTGGGACAATGTAAGCCCAACATCCCCGGTGCAAAAGGAACCGGTCCACCTCTGAGTGGTGGGACAATGTAAGTTCAACATCCCCAGTGCAAAAGGAACCGGTCCACCTCTGAGTGGTGGGACAATGTAAGTTCAACATCCCTGTTGCAAAAGGAACTGGTGAGCCATTGCACTAATCTGTCTTGAATGTCGCCATGAAGCACAATTATGAAATGGAGGGGAGTGGTGACCACTGAATAAAATGAATTTGTCTTACATTGTAGGAATTCTGAGATGACATACTTTTCCTATTAATTTTTGCTTTGTTTTTTCTCAGTCTTCCAATTGCTTTTTATTACAGTTTCCTGGGTTGAATGCACGGTGCCTACTAATAATAAAGGTAGTATGAAATAATAATAAACAAAATTCTATTCAAAAGAAGACTTGAAAAGGAACTAGGTTTTTTTTTGGTTTTTTTACTACTCATTAACAGTCATCAAAAATAATGAAAACATCACATTCCACTTAGAAAAAAAAAGATGCAAGGGAATTTGAATGAAAGCAAAGACTTACGGCCTGCTTTATTGTACGTGTTCATTATTAGCTTCTATTTTTATAAACAGATCAATTATCGGAACAAACTATGACCTGCTTGTTTCATCTGGATAATCAAGCAAATATTGATATAAATTTAGTTGTTTCTATATCAATATTTAACTAACAAAGGTAACAAGATGTTTTAAACAGTGTGTGTATTTTTTTTTTTACAGTGATGTTCACTCTACACAAGGCCTAATAGCCACTCAAGGTAGAGATTTACAGAGTAAGAGGCACAGTTAATGGGGACTGTAACATGAGAAAAAAAAAAAAAGGCTTACCTTCTGGTAGAAAGCAGGTTTGGACATGTAGCGAATGTAAAGTATCCCAAAAAGAAAATGGTAGCTTTACAAAATGGTAGATCTCAAAGTCGGATCCATCTTGCAAGACAACGACTTTTTTTTTTTGAAAATTTGACCCGTCACTCAAGCTACAGAAAGTGCTTGACAAGGTGACAGAGCAGAGCGGCTGTGCCAGTGAACAGCAGATACATGTGTTGGACTGGTTGACTTACTGAGGCGTAGAGAAACAGACTAAGGAACTCTATTCCAAGCATGAAGAAACTAATAACAGGGACATTTGGGGAAGTAAAAGACACAGTTTATGGGGAAGACAATGGTTAACCTTAGACTTAAGGTCAAGATTGTAATAATCAGAGAATCATCCTTTAGGGAATTGATAACAGTATGTGCAAAGAAGCTGCTCAAATGGAACTTATACTTCACTAATGAAAGGTAAAGGGAATGAGGTTTGTTAAAATGTGTGTGGCATGGTGGAGGTTAGAACTAATGTATTTCATCACAACACTTGTAATGATAAAAAAAAAAGAAAATGTGCATAGTCTAAATATAAATAAGAAGACCAATTGTTTAACACGGGTGAAAATTAAACAGAACAATTTTTTTACTGTAGAATTCTCAACAGGAAGCAATTGATTAAAGAATTTGTTCAAAAATTGATGGCCAAATATAAATAATTTTGTTATTGCACTGGTTATATTTTCTATGAGAGTAATCAAGCATTTCATTCTATAACAGTGATTCTCAAAATGGGGCCTTAGGCCCACAAGATGGCTAGAAAAATTTAAAAAATGGACATGCAATTGGCTCAAGAAAAATAGTTGGGCTTTGAAATTCTATGTACCATATATACTCGTGCATCATGCAACATTTGAAGAGCTAATTTTGAAGCTAATTTTAAGGGGGTCACATCATACATGAGATATAAAATTAGCACCGTTGGCCCTGGCTACACAGTTAACCAAACTATATATCCATTTACTGTAGTCAAAAAGTAAACATGATTTTGATAAAACTGATGTTTTACTTAACTGTATCCATTAATAATGCATGTAATATTCATATATTAGTATCATAAAATACAAACAGCGAATATGCATCTTTTCCATTGTTTACGTTTATAAGATGTTTAGCTGTTTCTCTTTCAGTTGTTTATGGCGGTACACGTTAATACAATGAGTATAGTGTTACTAATGATACTTTTATCATTCTCTTTTACTTTTTTAACTAATTTAATTAAAAGATGGGACAACAAGATAAAGGAAAAGAGGTTAGTCTATTGTAATTTGGTCTCTCAAAAAAGGAATTCACATGAAACATGAGATACATGATAAAATCATTTTTTATCAGTGAAAATTTGGGGGTTGCACAATACATGAGATCACACATGAGTATATACAGTAAATAAAATGTATTTCCTGTTTTGTTACTTTTTTTAATCTTTTTGCCCCGAGCAAGGCAATAAAGTCACTAGGATTCGAGGTTACTGAGTGTTAGAGAATATAAGAAAAACTATTAAAGAGAGAAACAATAAAAGAATGAGAATTAAGATAATGATTGACATTGATCTTCAAAAATTTAAATGCAAAGTTGACTGTGAAGCAAAAGAGATTTCCACAAGCGAGAAGTTACAAGGAAAATCTGTTCATGCATATGTGGGCCTGAATTTTTTTTTTTTTACACCTAAAATGAGCCATAAGGAAGAAAAGGTTAAGAAACACTGATCTATACAATTATCTTGATTGTTGCTTGTAACTAAGTAATTTTAATTTTTAAATTATCTTTATTTTATTAAATCATTTTATTGCTACAATTATTTCTATTTTCCTTTGCAACAAAGTACTTCTGATTTTAAATCATGAAAAAGTATAAGGGATATAATGCCAAAATAAAATTAAATAACCCCACATGCTGATCTCTTCTACTTATTAACAAGTCATGGTAAGACCCATCACTGTAACGTAGCTTCCCTTTGCCTTTTCTATAAATATTTTCATGGTAATCATTCTGATAAGCATTCCTTTGTGGTACCTAGACTTTATGAATTTAAATGCAGTACTAGATTGGCAGCTAGGTCTCATCATTTTACAATTAAAATTGTTAGATGTAAATGTAATTTCTATGCTAATAGTTTCTTCTTGCTTGTGAACTTCTTTCGGCTTTTTGCTTCCCAATCAACTTTGATCTTCAAAAATTCAAATGCAATGTTAATCATTATCTACAATTTTCTTAGTTCCTGTTCATTTATTTTTATCTCTCCTTAATGTATTTTTTCTCATATTCTTTCACACTCAGTAACCCGTTGCGTCTTAGTGGCTTTATTGCCTTTTATTTGGAGTGAAATGATTAAAAAAAAATCGCATATCTTGCTTGTTACCAGAACAATCGAATATCTCATTATTAAGAAGGGGTAAATGATAAAAAATATGTGACTTAATAAAGTTATGTTATAGATTATGTGGGATGGAAATCAAGGTTAATTTTTATTTAATATTAAATACTTTTGAGTACAAAGAGTTAATAGAAAAGTTTGAAATATTTTCAGTTCATATCTGATTTTGATTTGAAAGATGTAACACTAGATATTATGTTCCTATAATTCTCAAGATTATTTTTGTTACTCAAAATGTTCAGACAAGAATATCTTTCAAACAGTGTTTTATGGGAAGATGACAATGACTAACATAAATGTAAGCTACAAGTATATCCATGACGAAGAAGGTAGCTTGGCTGACACCAGAAAGTCAGCCCTCTCCCCATGAATTAATTCTTACAATGTAAACCATTCATCAAATACATTTTTAGCACTTGATACAATTTTCATCTTCATTAAACGTATTGGTCAGTGGTTAGGGTTCAGTGGTCAGTCAGGAAAAAATTCTTTATAAACCTTAAAAAAAGAAATTATTCCTTTAGTCATTAATTTTTTTCCAGTATGGAAACAAGTGACTAAGTTTTTAGCAATCACATAAATAGATTAAAGCACTTTTACTGGTGGAACCCACTGTTAACTGACTTTCCTACAAGATAAATTTGAGTTAGTACAATGCTGGACTGGTTGTCTAAAATCTAACATCCACAAACTTAATAGCAAAGGAGTTCCCATTACTTCAGCAGATATGATTAGGTTACTTGGTACGAGTAGATGGGGAAAAAAAAAAAATTACCGATCTGAGTTTTCTTCTCCCTCAACCATTTTAGAATATCAGTGTTAATTACTTTTTGGCAAGATATCTGACGAAGGAATAGTTCAGGGAGAAGTTTACTCATGCCTTTCCGAAAAGAATTAGTGTAAAACAAGCAGAAACAACCTCAGGTGGAACTTGAACACAGTTCTCTGATATCATTTTCCAGGCTGAGAGCCACTGCACCTCCCTTTTGCTGTAATTAAGAGATTTATTTGTGATTAATTAAATTTAGTCCGATTGTGTATTTGTGATAGATAAGCTAAAACTGGTCAAAAGGCATGTCACATGAAAACGATAAAAGAAAATTGGAAGTTGAAAACTTAATAAAGTTGTTAAAAAAAAATATACCCTGAAATGCAAATAATATAATTGAATCTAAATTACTGTCCCACCCTAAGTCAATTCATGACTGAATGTACAAAATAAAACAAAGAAAAGCAGTTCTGGGTTAAGATCTGACTTTTCTAATGTAAAACATATCTAATAAGCATAATTTAAAGTTCGTCACCAGCATTGTTTGTTGAAAAGATTTTCAATGGGAATTTTTTTTTTAAATATTCAAATCCAGATCAATTTCTGGTGGTTGTTTAATGCTGCCATATTTGATGATGATAATAGGAGGATACTCACGAGAAAACATCACAGTGTCGCCTGGCCTCCAGGTCAGCTTCCTCAAGGATCTTCTTTCGACGCCTTTCCTCATCATATAATTGTTCCTGTTGAAAGAAGAGACAAGTGGCACTATGAATCAAAGGCTAAATGCTTAACAATACTGATTAAAAGAAGATTTCTTCTTTCTTTTTCTTTTAATGGAGTAATATATGAAAAGGATTATACATAGTTGGGTACTGGGTCTTGTGATGTTGATGGTCAAAATGATTATGATGAATGAGAGATGATGAGTGAAAGAAGAGACGGTTGAAAGTGAAATGATCTGGAAATTTGAGAAAGATTATAGGAGGGCAAAAAAATTGGGGAAGATTGTGTGTGAGTGTGGACGCGTAATGCTTTTGAGGTTCATCCCCTAAACACTGGAACAGATCAATCTTGAGCGTTTGGAAAAAAAGCAGAACATAAGATGGAGTAAAACTATCATGAAAAAGTAAAAGAGAAATAACTGTATTAAATATATTTACAGCAATGGACTAATATCCTAATCAGTTTAAGATCACGTATTGGTGGTGAGAAGAAGCAGTTTTCCTTTGGGAAAACGGGATCCACTCTGACCGGTGCCCCTTTCGGAAACACGGGATCCACTCTGACCGGTGCCCCTTTCGGAAACACGGGATCCACTCTGACCGGTGCCTCTTTGAGAAATATAGGATCAACTTTGACTAGTTTCATGGTATCACTTTGTCAATACTTCCATGCCCATGCTCTATTAAAAGCTCTGTGGAAAGGAAAGATTGACAAATGCGTGTTGAAGATCTTGTTTGAAACCCTGTCTAGTCCAGTCACATGCAAGAGTCGCCGGGGATGTTGGCAACTTTTAATATAAGAAATCTGAGTGGCACTTGGTAAGAGATATGAACACTGTTTATTGCAATATGATTACAAATCATATATACAACATAACAGAAAACAAAAAATAAAAATATGCCTGTAGGGATACAGAAGGCGATTATCTCCCTTTGGTAGAGATAAGACATGTGACAGCTGCTTAGTGATGACACTCCATACAGTGATGAAAGCAGCAGCTAAATTCAGTTTGTTTTATGGTACCTGGGCAGTTGCTTTCTTTAGCTGGGCCACAGGAGGCCCAGGCAGAGTCTAAATCTGCCCCCTCAGTATCTTACAAGTGTATTGTGCCAGTTCCCTTTGGGAATATATCTTTCCCAGATATAAGAAGAAACTCCAGCTGACATTCCTCAATTTGGGAAAACCCAAGACCAGCTGTTTCACATTTGTGGAATATGTGCTCACCTGGGACATCGTAGATGAATCTAGCCCATTTGAATCTGGAGTCCTGAACATGGCTTCTCCAGACACAGGAGTATCTCCATATTATATGCAAAACACTTTCTTTTTGTTTCTCCTTACACTCTGCTTTGCTGTGTAGATTTATATGATATATTATTATATGCATGGAACACATGCATATATATAGTTTTGTGTATGTCTTAGTAGTATAAAAGTCTCTCTGAACACAAAGCATGTTTTTTATTCTTTTTTTCCTTTCAGCCATTCTGTTTCATCCATGAAATATGGTGTCATTATATCACAGATATAGTAGTGCCAATAATGGTGGGGGATACAAATTGGGTAATAAATCTTTCTATAGCTCTCTCCTTTTACATACCAAACTGGAGATGAGCAATCACATTTACAGCAAATTTACTTAAAAACAGTCAGGAAAGAACAGTGGACATATTTTGTCATGCTCACTACGTTTTGGTTGTGCCTTCCGGCCTTCTTCAAATCTGGGTAACCTTAATATAATTTCAAATGAAACACTTTATTCAATCTACAGGGTTAGATTTTTCTCATTCTGTTGTCTATGTCTAGTGATATCTCATCTGTTATTTACATGCAGACTATTGTTATCATTTCTGTTATAGATTTGTTTTCATTGAGCAATCTAACTCTGTATATCAAGTAAAGGGTTCTGTTTGAAATTTCACCCAAATTGACAAATACCTGATGAAAAGTAGAGGGTACAACAGACAAAACATTTTGATAACATCAGCAAGAATTAGGACAATCCCAGAAATTCAGACAGAAATTGATTGCACATGTACCTCAATGAGAAACTAATGACATAATCAATATGTTGACATCCCACACTACATCAAACAAAAGGTTAGGAAGGAAACCTCCATCAATAGTGGAAAGAGCAATAGCAAGGGAGTTGAGAATTTTTTTCCTGAGAAAGGGTTTTAAGAGAAAGATTTTATAAATTTTAACTGACAGTCATGTTGTCTGCTCGGTCAAGGAAAGCTGAATGTTTCCTTAAAAAGAAACAGCTAATATTACCATTACTACATTATTAAAATTTGTTATTATCAATAACCTTATATTCTAATGGTTGATAGAAGTAAGGAGATTCTGGAAAATCTGTAATATTTTAAAATGAAGTTGCTCACAGAATTAAAAAATTAGAACAAAATGAAACAATATCTGACCACACTGCTCTAAACTGGTTTAAGCATTTTAAGGATGGTGACTTGTCCCTTGAAATAAAGGAAGAGGAAGAAAATGAAACAGTATCTGACCATACTGCTTCCAAAACTGACTTAAACATTTTAAGGGTTGTAACTTGACCCTTGAAAAAAAAGAAGTGAAAGGAAAGGAAACAAAATCTGACCACATTGCCCTAAAACTGGTTTAAGCGTTTTAAGGATGGTGTCTTGTCCCTTGAAATGGAAGGAAATTAAACTTCTGACCATATTGCCAAGACTGGTATAAGCATTTTAATGATGATGACTTGTCTCATGAAATAAAGTCCAACCAAAAATCAACAATAAGGTTGTTGATTATGATGCATTAAAATACAAAGTAGAGAAGAACTTGAACATTACTGTCTGGAATTGAAAAACATCAAGTGTGAAAGATCTTTACAAACATTTTTCATTGGCAATACACTTATAAAAGCATTTTTTTTTCTTTTCCAACACATTTATCAACTAAGTGAAATTCAAAGTGTATATATTCATATTTAAAATGTATATAAGAAATAAATCAAGAGAAAAAATTAATTAATAATTAAAAGAAAGACAGAGTAATCAAATACATCAAAGTCTTGAACAATCACTTTTAAAAAGCTCTGAGCTACGATCCTCAAAAGCTACCATATATAGAGAATTAAATACACTTATAAAACATACAGAAGGTCTTGAGAGATTCACAATTTACTGCAAAACAAAAATACTTTCAGTACACCATTATATTGAGATGAACTACTTACACTATTTATATTAATGTTGCTATTTTTATTTCAACATTTCGGCTGTTGTACGTTCTGGCCTTCTTCAGGTTGTTGGAATGTCGAACTAAACCCTTTATTTCACTCACTGGAGTAGACTGTTCTAGTTCCAAGTACCATATTTTTAATGGATATCAGTTGTCTCCTGTTAATTCCCCTCTCCAAGTTCTCCACTGCCTTAACTGGGTATTGAACTCAAGAACACATGGCACAGTGGATAAAGGCGTTGGTTAGATCCAGTGACAGGACCCAAAGAGTATGAGTTCAATACCTAGTTAAGGCAGTGGAGAACTTGGAGAGGGGAATTAACAGGAGACAACTGATAACTGATATCCATTAAAAATGTGGTGCGTGGAACTAGAACAGTCTACCCCAGTGAGTGAAATAAAGGGTTCAGTTCAACATTCTAACCACCTGAAGAAGTGAAGAAGGCTGGAGTGCACAACGGCTGAAACGTTGTAATAAATATGGCGACAAAGATGAGGACAATAGTCCGAACAATGTAAATAGTGTACATAATAGCTCATCTCAGAAATATTCACAGATAATGAACTACTTAATCTTTAGGATTCAGAAATAAAAGTAGATGAAAGTATTATTCACCTCATAATTCCAATTTGATATTTGAAGTTTCAAAAACTAAATTTACCAAATTATAAAAAAAAAAAATGACTATAATCAGCAAAGACATTAAAAAGAAAAAAGAATTATATAAACTAATTAAGGATACCAGATAATTTCTCATTGGTTACTAATAGCCTCCTAAATATCAGCTTTAGGCATTTGAAATAATTTTCAAACTGTTCTCTCTGTAAGCAACTATCATTTAAAGAACTTGCTTAACCTTTAAGAAATGTCAAAAACATGAACTTGTATTTCATGGAATCTCTTTATGTCAGAGTGTTAAGATTTTTCTACCATTTTTTTCTTTTTTTTATTATAAGAATACTTTCAGAGGAAAGGGACTTTGTTGTAAACATTATCTGGGTCTTCCAGCCAGATACTGATTCTAAGACGAAGTTTAGTGTGTATAAGTATTTGTGTAGAAGACAAGTAACACAAGGATAGTTTATAATCATATAGCCTATCTGGAATATATTCAGCCATTTTAAATATCTCATAAGCCGAACTTGGCAACCAATCAAAGGTAGCCTTATCAAATGTCTATGTTTTTGATATAATTTGGCAACCAATCAGAGGTAACATTACATGTCTGAGTTTGGCAGAGACAGTTTTGAGGGTTATTTTTTTTTTATTCCAGTTCTGAAGCTTTAGAGGTTTTATTCCATGAAAAAACTTTATTATACATGAAAACTAAGCCTATAATAAAAATTGAAAACTGTACAGATTTGAGGCTTGAATATCATGGTAATTCTAATTAGAGGTGACCTAATTGAACTTTGCTTTTTTTAATAATTTCACCCAAAGCAAGGTGATAAAGCCACTAAGACACATGTAGTTACTGAGAATGAAAGAATCTGAGAAAAAAAAACATTAAGAAGTGAGGACAATGAAAGAACAGGATTCAGAAGATGATGATTGACATTGCATTTAAATTTTTGAACATAAGATATATAGATTTATAATTTGTTTTCTGTGACAGCTACACACCAATTGCTATCAAATAAAGAATACCATTGTAAGTTCAGTCCAAGCAAGGCAATAAAGCAGCTTGTAGAATCATATTTCTACATCTTTATGGATTGCTAAAAATGGCTTGTTTAATTTCTGTGCAAAAAGTGGATCACAGCAATGTTTTGAACAGATCCAACTTCACACATATTTTTTTGAATA